AAGCTCCCGCCTTTTCCTTAGGCCGTTAATCAGGACCCATTTCTTGTCCTGGGGCGGAAAGCACTGAACCCCACATACTTTCCTGCCAGAAGAAACCAAGAACTTGGTTTAGACACAAGCACGTGATGGCCATGGTAGTTAAGATCCATCCTTACACTTCCTTGCATCTCCAGAGTTCTAAGGTTAACTGACTACACCTGTAGAGGCTCCCGAGAGCTTTCCGCAGCCATGCTGTCACCCTCCCTCATCCTGTGGGAGACCCCATCCTGACAGGAAAGCAGAGGTTCGGTGCTCTCAGAGAACTGGTGACCGAGGAAGGAACAAACCCTTCCTGTTGTCAGATTCTGGGCTCAGCCTCCTCCGAGGGGAGGGCGGCCTGGCCGCCATAGGCTTCTGGCCGCAAGTTGCAAAACCGTGCTGATGCCGAGCGAGGACGGCCCACCAGGAAAGGACATGCGCTCTGTGCCTTCTGTCACGAGGGTCCTCCGGAATATTTTTAAAGGCCACAGAATCTGCCAAATGAAACCGAAGGCGAAGGCTTGTCTGAGGAACACGAGAGGGCCTGGAGAGACGGCTTGGCAGGCGACCACGGGTGCAGGCCTCGCAGAGGACCCGGCTTCAGGTCTCAGCACCGGCAGTGTGGTTCGCAACCGCGGGGGAACACCAGTTTCAGGGGATCCGATGCCCTCCCCTGACCTCCATAGGCACCACATGGATGGGGCGCACAGACATGCATGCAGGCAAAACATCAAGACACGTAAAGTAACTAAATCCTAAAAAATAATCAAGGGCGTTGGAGAGGACAAATGGCTTAAAAGAAGGAAGCACGGGTGTCGTGTCCTCCTGTCCCCCCCCCCCATCGTTTTCATCTTGGTGTAGAACACAAGACGGCTGATCTCGCGCTACCTCTGTGTCTCTTGCTGATTTTCTTACCCTCCGAGGCTAGGTTCCTACTGAACTGTAGAATCTTGCTGTTTGACAAGTCATAGTAATTTACTCAGGCAGGTTTCCGGAAATCTGAGGTGTGGTTGATACTGGAGGCCTAAACGGAGCTGAGGGTGCCGGGGTGCACGCCTGTGATTCTAGAGTTGGGAGATAGAGGTTGGAGCATCACTGCAAGTGTGAGGTCAGCGTGGGCGAGCCACTTCCTCGACACGCCCCCCCCAAAAAGGACAAGATGATAAACAAAATGGGGGGACTTTAGGTTGTTTCACACGGAATGAGGGTGTTGGTAAGTGCTTTAGCTTGATAGAGTCAAGGGAGGAAAACGATGATTTGGTCTTGGCCGTTTGCAAGGCTCGTGCGGGAGGCACAGGCACTTCAGTTTACTCTGGAGCCCTGATGGTGTGTATCTGTGGTGTTGCACGAAAACAAAAGACCCAGAGACTGACACTGGGGTTCAGGCTTCAGGCTGACAATCAGAAAAGCAAAGCAGCCAATCACTGGCTCCCACTCTGCCTCAGACTGAAATGGGATCCTGGCTCCACCAACCTCAGACTGAAGCCTCTCCTCAGCGTGGCTGGAGAATCCTGAGACTTCAGTGTCTTCCTGTCCTCAGTGTGGCTGGAGAATGAAATCTGACACTGACTCCTGAAGACCCTGCTCCTGTCTTTTCTACCCCTTAGTGCTGGGAATAAAGGCGTGAGATCCCAGGTGCTGAGATCATCCTTGGGTGAGCTGTTTTTCTTTAGGACCAGGTGAATCTTGTGTAGATCTGGGTGGCCTTGGGCTCACAGAGATCCATCTACCTCTTAATCCTGAGTCCCAGGATTAAAGGTGTGTGCCACCACCTCCTAGCTTCAGGCTGCTGGGATTGAAGGTGTGTATCACCACTGCCTGGTTTCTGTAGCTTGAGGCTGACTTTGCTTTCTGAATCCCCAGGCAAGCTTTAAATAAATCATAAATAATATATCACCACAATGTGGCCTTAGTACAGCCAAGTTCTTTTCCCTGTAGAAGTTGGTCCACTCCGGACTGTTGACGTCTTCCCATAACTTCTGAACGCAATCCCTCAGGTCAAAGCAAACTCACCCCCAGCACCCGAGGATGATCTCTAGGAACCAGGATATCAGTTTACCCCTGGCCCCCAGTTTCTCTCTGCTGTGATGCTGGCATCTGACCATGATGCCATTGGCTGTGGCGGGTTGAAACCGGGGCTATGTATGCATATGTATGCATGACTCCAGTTGGTGGAATGAAGTGCCTAGGTTTCCATATTTCCATGATGGGTCTCAAAGCACACGTGGTGCCAAAATCGGGAGATTTCCCACTCGATGGGCTGGATGGACCGGGTTCTATTGGAAGAAACCACGCGGCGCCTCTCGATGCTTCTCCGGCCCCATGGCAAGCCAGTGACTTGGTCGGATGCCCCCCTTCCCTCGCTCATCCATTCTTCCGGGTGGAAACGTTTTCTCGTGTTTGTTTGCGTCTTCGCGCTGAGTGTCTGCAGCAGACCTCAACTTTACCGCCACCGAGCTGTACACTAGACTGCACAATGAGCATTGTTTAGATTTCAGCAAAAGGAATCATTCAGAAAATAGACTTCAAAATGGTAGGGTACCCAGGGTGTGGTGCTGCACACCTTTAATCCTAGAGCCCAGTAAGTGGAGTTCAAAAGTCTGTGGGTTCAAGGACAGCCTGGCCTACCTAGCAAGTTCCAGGCTAGCCAGAGTTTACACAGTTGAGACTCTGTCTCACAAGAGGACAGAAAAGGGGGGAATGCTTTCAAAATTTGTCCATTGCCAGAAGCGTGAAGAGGGGTTGTCACCTCATTTTGAAGTGTGCCCCGTGTGCCTGGCCTGAGTGTCTGTCGGCCAGGAGCCTCTTCCGTGCTGTGGAATGGGACCCATTGGGTCTGGCTGTGTGTGCTTCGGCAGGTCCAACAACTAGCGTGGTGGCTGTTGCTCGTGCTCTGTCTCCTTGTCAGGGCCGTCACCTCAGCCTCCACTTTATGACTGACTGTAGGAGGGCAGTGATAGTTCCCATGCTGTGGGGAAAGGAAGTTGAACAACATTTTTCTGCTTTCAGCGAGTTTGAGTGCAGCCCGATCCCTTTGTGGTTGATCTTGGTAGCAAGGACATGATGCAGGGATGAGTCTGGAAAAATGCGTAGCTGCCTAGGTTGTGACCTAACCCGTTTATTTATGGTCCTACACGATGTCCTACTTTTCCAGATATCTGAAATCTGCTTTGTTGAATTTACTACGCCACGTTCTTGGATCTTCCTAGGGGTTTCATGCGTCTGGTGGTGCCCTGTGGGTGAGGAGTGTTGGGCGGTGGTGCCCTGTGGGTGAGGAGTGTTGGGCAGTGCCCCACATGTGGGGAGTGTTGGGTGCAGGAGCTGAGACAATGGCTGGATGGGGAGCTGGAAGGATGACTTTCTCCCTTGGAGCTGTGAAACTTTCCCCCCAGGAGGGAGTCAAACCATCACCGTGGAGGACAGCATTTGGTGTAGGGTGTCTTACAAATGACATCAGGAGGTACAACTCTGGGGCTCCTCACTGCTTAATCCCCCCAAATGGTCCCCAGACTGCCTGAGGGGCAGCCCACAAGTCAGCACCTTTACATGGTGTTGTAATTCTAAGGATAGATATTTTGACAGTATATTTCATGACTATTTCAAAAAAGATATTGGCAGTGATAAAAATCATCAAGGTGTAACTGAAATTCTCTTGGAGGCTGGATTTTGTATAAACTAGCACAGTGTGGTCATGGGTTGTGTAGTGTGCATTTTTGGGTGATGCTGTTCACATAGACTCCAGTGACAGGTGGATAGAGAGTATGGATTGCCCGGTCATAGGGCAGAATCCTTGAATTGAAGCGCATAGCTGTCCATCTCATCTTTCCTCTGGAAGACAGAGATTCTTTTAGTGAAGCATGTTGCAATTCTTATTCGACCACGGGGGCATTTTCACTTGCTTATTTATCTAGATTAACCTTAGTTATTATTCGCCGGGAACTCAGGAGCTGGAAATTGTCTCGGTGTTGTTTTTCTGCCAGGAGCTCGGTAGTGAAATGGAAACTGAATTCGTTTTACGGCCAGAAGTTTTGCTTTTGATAGGCAAAGGCTGAAAGTATCAGGAGGGAATGAATTTCTCAATCACTTAAGTGTTAGGACAAAGTGTATTCCCAAGCTCACTTTCCTACAGATTCAGGTAGCTGTACTCACACATAATCTGATATTTCTCAGCGTTAGAACTGGAGGCCAGACCTGTCTTCCAGGGAGCTCATGTGAAAAATACCCATGGTCCCCATTCTTGGCGGTTTCGAAGATGGCATCAGTAAGAGGCCATCCCGCCCTGCACTGAGCCGAGCATCCGGGCACACATTCCCGCATAGCCAGGCTGTCCCGACAGTGATTAGGACTCTCTCCATCTGTCTCGCCTTGTTTGGAGTCTCACTGTGGCCCTGTGTACATTGGTGCAGATGAGGAATTTATTATATGTTTGTATTTATCTCTGGTAGAAAATTTATTTGTGACCTCATACTACTAGTCGATGACTTTAGTAGGGAAACGTGTTTTATGTCTCTGTCGTTAGGACAAAGAAACGCTAGGGTGGAAAAACAAGAGTGCTTGCACGAGGCTCATGATATGGACCTGGTCGTGGTTCTGGGATACATAATCTGGCAGTAACCCTCAGACATCAGAGAATAATAAAAGTGCTATTAAAATTACCATCTTTGAAACAAAACCATGGAAACCATGGTTAACGTAGCCAACTGTACCATGGAAATAGTACAGGAGAAATAGTCAAAATGAACTAATTTTTTCCAAACTGATTTCTCAGGGTTTTTTTTTCTTTTGGTATGGAATTGGAGGAAGGAGGAGAGTGCTTTATCCGTAGGGAGATCAGAACCTGACTCTTATGGACTTGCCTTCAAGACAATCTATCTGGCTATAAAAACTTCAGGGTATATGTAACATATATTAGTTGGTAGAGCTAAGCGGCTTTTAACTGTAAAATGTGTACTTACAACTCTTTAATGTGTTTTGCTTTACAGAGACAAACCCAAATTATCCTGAAGACCTCTATGAAGGTAGCTATCATGTTTCTTCACTTTGTATTTTTTTTCCAGAATGTTTGTGTATAATGTAATAAATCAGCTAGAAGAAGACCTGTAAGCTGAGTTAAATCCACATTTTTAAGTGCTACATGGGCCAAAATAACATCTCAAGTATCACCCAGTATTGATGGCTCTTTTCCCTTGATATTTACAGTGCCTGTAAATAGCACTTTCTCTCCCAGGCTCTCTTCTTGGAAGTAGTAAATCCATTCTGCTCTTACAGACATCTTGTTTCCGTAATTGGGAACTAATTACCTGTTTAAAAGCCATGACAACCAAGGGAAGGGAGGTGCCTCACCTCCAGGCCATGACAGGAAACACATGAAATTGTCTCTTGTATAATGCAGAGGCTGCTTATGGACAGAGCTTCAAAGGGCTCGCTTGGGGGCAGCTCCGCCAGCCACTGGAGGGTGTCACTGTCCCTACTGCACATGTGACCATCCACTGGCCAGCTTTGCTGGGGGCTGGTTCCCTCTGTTGTGTGAGCTGATGCTGTGGATGGTCTGACCCAGCGATGGTCCATCTAACCTTTCTTACTGAAAAGCGGAATTACATAGCCTTGACTTGCTGAACCCATCCCCGGAGCACAAGCCAATTTCCCTGGGGGTTGGAAGGGCCTAAAGCCTAAAATGAGTGAAATCCTTTTAGGGACATGGAAGGGGAGGAACCCAAAAGCTACATCAGCGATGCTTGGCTGCTCACCTCTACTCTGCCTGTTGACTAAATGCCAAGGATGCATTGACGGGCACAAAAACTCTTTAGTGCAGTCTTCCAAGCTACCACTGTGGTCACGAGGCCACTGATTTTAGAGACGTGGCAGGCTTTGTTTCAAGCTTGGGATTAAAACTGAGAGTGATCAAAGCTAGATTAGTTAGAGTGGTGCATTTTCACAAGGGATTTGTTCTCTAGCTTTCCACTGATGGGCACATGTCACCTGACGCTCCTATTTGCTTGGGTCTGTAACATGCCCCGCACCAACCATGCTCATATTTGGTGTGAACTGTGCAAAGATCAGCTCCATTGGATAAGCTATAGACCACCCTAGGCTGACTGCATGTGTATTTAACTCCAGCTGATTTTAACTGAGAGTTTCTCTGTGTGTGCATGCTAATCTATATTGCATCTGAGTTGTGGCTTGGCTGACTCCTGTGCAGGTGATTTGAATATGTATTTTTACTGGACCTCCTGGGACTCTAAGAAAAACACGTCTCAGATTTATCCCATACAGCATGAGGTCCGAATGGTGATTTTTTACATTTTTAAAATCATGTTCTGAGTTTCTTTTCAGTAACTTCAAGACGTTAAAAAAAATGCCATCTCTCCAGTGGCCTCAGCTTCCATTTCGGGCCTTTTGGCTAAGATGTCATGGTTTTAAACTAGAGACATTTAAAATGGTCTAAATTTTGCCTGGCTACTTGGCTATACTACAGAGAAAAATTAGTAAATAAATGATGTCTGCTTATGTTTGAAATCAGTGAGTTTTAAGATATTCCAAATAAACATTGTTAAAATTCAGGTTTTGGCACTAGGAACACAACAACAAACAAAGAAAAATAAGTGCTTTTTTCTGGTTTTTTTCACTTGCATTCAAAGGAACATGCTGTTAATAAAAATGCGATTTGAGCTGTTTGCCCTAAAGCCAGCATGATGATCCCACCAAGGGGAGTTTGGCTGGGGCTGAGTTGATGAAGTGGCTCTTGCCGGATGGAAAGGAGGGGGCACTGTTCTAGTTAGAAGCGCAACACAGACACTTCCAGGCACCATCGCCTGCAGCCAGCCAGCCACCTAATCCATGCAAACTAAATCTGGCCTAGAACATGCCAGCCGACTTGAGATTGATGGCAGGGAAGACACACACATCCACGCTGGCCTATTCAATAGAATATGGGTGCATCTGGGCTCTCGGACCCAAGTCCCGCAGTGATGCTCACACCAGGCTGCATCTTAAGGCCTTGTCCTACTCTCCAGCAAGATGCTCCTTCCCGGACATCAGTGCTTCCTTACCCCCGGGGTTGCCGCGTGGCTCTGACTCCCTAACCCTCATCATTCTACTCTGAGGCTGACATTTCTCAGCGTTAGAACTAGAGGCCAGACCTGTGTTCCAGAGAGTTCATGTGAAAAATACCCATGGTCCCCATTCTTGGTTGTTTTAAAGATGGCATCAGTAAGAGGCCATCTTTCCTTCAGAGCAAAGGAGAAACCTTAAAGCAGGTTTAGCATGGCGTGCAGAACCTTGATGGAGAGATGGAAACTGACCGCCATGTTGGCTTTGCGCAGTTCCATCCGGCCCTGCACTGAGCCGAGCATCCAGGCACACATTCCCGCACAGCCAGGCTGTCCCGACAGTGATTAGGACTCTCTGGATCTGTCTTGCCTTGTTTGGGGTCTCACTGTGGCTCTGTGTATGTCAGAAACCTATCGATGACTTCATATTCCTCCTCTTTCTCTTGTCTCCAATTGAAGACTGGACTGCAGCAACTGACATCGGGGATACTACGAACAAAAGCAATGAAATCCCTTCTACAGATGTTGCTGACCAAACCAATCGGGAGCATCTCTCGGTGAGTGGGGATGGGTGGACAGTGCCTCCTGGGCTGGCTCTGACAATTCTGGATGCTCACATGCTGGAGAATTTGTCCCTGTTTCCGTAGGACATGGTTATTGTTCAGATGTGAGGGGCCACCAAGATTGGAGGGTTTGCTAGAAAGACCCAGAAATAGTGATAAAGGGACCGTGCAGCCTCTGGCCAGTGCTTTTCTGGTAGTGCACCACATGTTGAGCTTTTCTGACGTTTTACTTAGTTTTACTTTATGGGTATGGGTGCTTTGTTTGAGTGTGTAAAGTGCCAGAGGAGGCCAGAAGAGGGTGTTAGGTCTTCAGGTCCTCTGGAAATGGAGTTAGAGAAAGGTTGTTAGTGGCCATCTGGATGCTGGGAATGGAACTCAGGTCTTCCTCCTCCAGACTCAGAAATATATATATATATATAATTTCTGTGTCTGTGTGAATGTATACTTTCAAAAGACGGGAGAAAATGAGGCCAGAAGAGAGTGTTAGATTCCCTGGTGCTAAGTCAGCTGACGTGGGTGCTGGGAACGGAAGGTGGCGGAAGGTGGCAGGTCTTCTGGAAGAGCAGCCAGTGCTCTCACCTCTGGCTCCATCCCTCAGCCCCGTAGTTCACCACGTTCAACAGTTATTGCTGTTTTTAAATACCCATCCTTTACAACCGGACTACTGGGAAATCCCTCGTAGCAAATCCCAGCACTCCCATTCAGGGACCACACTCTCTCATCTTACCTCCTTCATGTTTTAAAAAGCAAAAATTTAGAAATCCAGCTTTCTCTGGGGAATGTGATAGGAAAGAAAACCCAGGTGCATCTTTTAGACAGGCGCCCCGGGGGCGGAGTGGTACCTGACCCGGCCTGTGCAGGCAACCGGCATGAGATGAGTGGAGGGCATCGAGGGCATCGGGGTGTGAGCAAGAGCTTGCAGGCTGGGAAAGGCCAGGCGGGTGCTTCGCTGGAAGGCTGAGGCTGGTATGGGTGCTTTGAGTGTGTAGCTGTGTGCTCTGTGCATACAGGGCCCCGCGATTAGCCTCACTGTGTCGTGAATTGCCACCAAAGAGTCTGTGCTTCCTAGGGTCCCGTGGTGGGACTGGTTTGGAACCATGTTGAGTTTTCCTCTCACACAGCGTGTCCCGTGAGCTCTGATCCCTTCCATGCCGGAATCCACCATCTCCCCTCCCGCTGCCACAGCTGCAGGCCGACCCAGGTTCTGCAAAACAGGACCTGGCTGCCAGCTCCTGTCTGACTGCCATTTTCTCCATTCTGGTTTACAGGTAGTGTCAGGCCTCACATTTTTAACCGGGCTTGGAAAAGTACCCAAAGAGGAATAGTGCTTTGTGACATGAAAGTTCTATGAAAGTCAAAATTTTCATTGATTTTTTTAAAAATTTATATTACGTGGATAAAATATAAATATAAATATAATCAGACTAGGTTGCTAGTGGTCATTGTAATTGCAATGTCCTCATGATGCCTTCAGCATTCCTGTTAACATCATGTCCTGTAACTCTTCTTCTGATGTAACAGTCCTCCTTGTAACCAGAAACCAGAAACTGCTTATGCATCAAATGTCTAAACCACACATAACTGAAAATTTAAAAGATTCCATAAAATGGCCTTTTATCTTACATGCAGGTATCTATATGCCCCTGAGTTAGAAAATGCAGCTTTTGTCTGTCTGTCTGTCTGTCTATCTGTCTGTTTATCTGTTTATCTATCTACACACACACACACACACACACACACATATATATAAATAATTGTTTTTGAGACAGGGTTTCTCGGTGTAGCCTTGGCTGTCTGTCTGTCTATCTATCGACACGTGTGTGTGTGTGTGTGTGTGTGTGTGTGTGTGTGCGTGCGCGTGTGGGTGCGTGCGCACACGCGCGCACGCATCTGTTTGATGAGTGCGTATATGCTCTGGTATGCCTCAGTGTGTGTGTGTGGGTCAGAGGACCACTTTCCACTGTGGTTCCAAGGCTCAGGTTTGCAGGAGGCAAGTGTTTTTTATCCCCTGAGTCACCTTGCCCACCCAGTAGCCACTTTTTCTCACTGAAAAAAAAAAAAAAGCAGGAGCTCTAAGGCCTCCAGCAGACGCTTGAAATCTCAGGTAGTTTTGAAGCTTTGCTGTGGCTTTTCCTATGCAAATCCACAATAAAGTTTGATTTACAAATTAGGCTCGATAAGAGATTAAAAACACCAGTAAGGCCAGGCATTGGTGGTACACTCCTTTAATCCTAGCACTCGGGAGGCAGAGACAGGTGAATCTCTGTGAGTTTGTGAATACCCTGGTCTACAGAGCAAGTTCCAGGACAGCCTCCAAAACAATATAGGGAAACCCTGTCTTGAAAAACAAACAAACAAAAAAAAAACCACCACCAGTAAAAATTTAACAATCATAACAGCATAGTATGTCCTTTTGCTCGCAGTCACAATTAAATAAAACAAGGGCAACTTGAACACTGGCTCTGAGACACCATGCCAGTGTTTCTTCTGATGAGTGAGAACGCCGGTGATTAACCAACATCGCAGTGGTCCATACGGTGTGGGCATGTTGGGCAAGTTTGAAGGAGATGGATTTGGTTACCGCAAGGTGGTCCACCGCCAGCCACGAGGGAGACGCTGTCACTCGGCATACGTGCAGGCTGGTGAGGCTAAGTCTGCACGCAGGAGTCCACTGAAGCTGTATCCGGAAGCTCTGAAGGGTACTGACGCGGCATAAGGGCTCCTTATCAGACTCTTGCATGACTCTGCCGCTGCCGGTGCCCTTTGGGTGCTTTGTGACCGACTTAGTGCTGTTCTTATCTGACTCCAGACAGCGGAACTGCAGAGCGATTACCCCCGAGTTTTTATCTTCCTGTCTTCATTGTGAACCGGACGCTCCGTTGTGAATAAACTACAGTTGTGTTAAAAATACCTGGACAGACTGGTTCAGTTCCAAGCTGTGTGGCCTTGGGATGTTTGTTTGCATTTCATGAGCTTCAGTTTTGATAGTCTCATTGTCTGTACCACCGCCATCTTAATTATTATATTATTATTTACTGCTTAGTTCACTGCGTGCATGAACTCACTGAGGGCTCTACAGTCCACAGGGCAGAGGACTATTAAACACGAGGACTATGAGAAGCCAAGGGGCACACCTGAATTTCACCCAGGGAGAAGCCAGTTCTAAAGCCGCTATAGTCTGCAGCACCAGTGTATGCTCTGCTGCAGTAACAGACACGCCCACACATCTTAGCGGCTAAACACCATAGAGGCCTCTCTCATCCTTCACGACCTGTGTTACTGGGAGTCTCTTCAGCTTCGTCCTGACTGTAGGACCTGGCTGACACACAGCTGCCCTTCTGAGAGTTGATTTTTGTTACGGTAGGGAGAAAGCTCCAGAGGCAGGGAGACCAGGGCTTCTCAGCCTTGACATTGTTGGCTTTGGGGGTGAGTAACTCTAGGGACTCTTTCCTGGCCACAGTAGATGGTGAGCGGACCCCCGGCGTTTATCTAAGTGCTTCTAGGATCACCCCAAGTCCCCCCGACAAAACCTAGAGTTGCCAAGCGTGTTTGAGTGACAGCGCCACTGATTGTTAATAACCAGGGCCTTTGACTAACATCTCAGATTGGCAAGGACATTCTTCACCCTTGTAAACCCCAGTCCCAGCAAGCGAGCATGAGGATGCAGCTAACCACAAGCAAGGCAGGGAGTGCGTTTTCCAGAAACAGGAGCCAAGACCAATTAGGTAACAAGTATAAATGATTACCTTAGAGGGAAAAATAATACCGCTTTGAGGGCTTTCCCACAGAGCGCATAACGCACAGAACTTAAGCTTTTTAGTAAGCGCTGTCAAAGTGCAGCATCAGTTTTTGTGGGCAAAACTTTATCAGAACATGACCTCGAAACTTTGCTTTCACATCTTCTGTGGCCTTTTTCAACCTATGCTGCAGAACTGAGTTCTTGCTACAAAGGCCGTGTGCCTGGCAGAGTCTAAGTATATTCCAGCTGACAGAGTGTGACAGAAGTTCGCCAACCCCCTGGACCTTGGTGTGCTGGTTAATTTTTGTCGGCTGATACAAAATCGACTCACCCGGAACCCTCAGCGGAAGGATTGCCTCCATCTGATTGGCTCTTGGGGGGTGTCTGTGGGGCATTGTCTTGATTGATTATTGATGTGGATTAATTGTGGGTGGAGCCACCATGGTGGGTGGTTCTGGAATGTGTAGGAAGGCGAAATGAACGAGCCTTGGGGAGCAAGGCGGTAAGCAGCCTTCTTCCACGTGGTTCCCGCCTCAGGCTCCTACCCTGCCTTCCCCTCAAATTGTGAGATGAAACAAACCCTTTCTTCCTGGCTTGCTATTACTCATGGTGTTTATTGCAGTAACAGAAAGAAAGATAGGATTCTCTACAATGTTGCTGCATCCTTCAAGTAGCAAGGGGATCCTACATGCCCAGAGGAACAGTGGTACCAGTGGACACTAAGTTTTTACGCTCACCTCTGCCTTGGGCTTGTGACAGAATCCACACAGCTACTCCTTCTACTCGCATCACTCACTGCTTGTAATTCCACTTTTAAAAGCATAAAAGTCCTTTTCTGGCCTGTATCACCCACGCAGAAAAGTGTACGGATCAGTGATGTCTGTCTCAGGTCCTGTTCAGGGCTGCGGCATACTGTAAAACTTTGCCTGCTTCAAGCTTGCCCTGGCTCCTATAAGCCCTGGCACTAGCTTAAAAAGGGTGCCCACCATGAACAACTTTTAAGCATGTACAAAAGTAATGAGAATAGTAAAATCAGCCCCATTGTATCGTTCACTAGCATCAAAATATTAATATTTTTTCATCCATCACCTCCTTCCTCTCCCTCCCTTTTCCTTTGCTCCTGTGTCTCGATGGATGGATGGATGGATGGATGGATAGATGAACGGATGGATGGATGGATGGATGATAGATGAACGGATGGATGGATGATAGATGGATTCATGGATGGATGGATGGATGGATGGATGGATGGATGTGGATGGATGGATGGATGTGGATGGATGGATGGATGGATGGATGGATGGATGATAGATGAACGGATGGATGGATGATAGATGGATTCATGGATGGATGGATGAATAGATGGATGGATGGATGGATGGATGTGGATGGATGGATGGATGTGGATGGATGGATGGATGGATGGATGGATGGATGGATGGATGGATGGAGCCACAGACATGATCATTTGTGTGGTATCAGTTAGGGGTCCATTTATAAGTTTAGAGTAGGCATCATAATAGCAAGTGCTCGGGAAATGTTAACTGCCATGGTCATCACTGTCATCTAAATGCAGGGAGTGGTTTTGCAAGGTCGTCACAGCCCTGTTTTCTCTCCAGGTCTATGCCGTGGTGGTGATTGCGTCTGTGGTGGGATTCTGTCTGCTGGTGATGCTCCTTCTGCTCAAGCTGGCCAGGCATTCCAAGTTTGGCATGAAAGGTAAGCAGAGCCATGCTTATTTTGCTTCTTTAAGTGGACTCATTTTTGGCTCATGACTAATGCTAATTATCACTAAAGGAGGAAGTGGCTGGATTTATGATGACTGGTTTTTAAGTTGGAAAAATAGCAACAAGGGTATAATACTACAAATCAAGATGGAACAAAATCACGATTACTCAACATTGCCCACTTTTCCGAGAGCACAGTTGTCCCAGGAAGCATGGACTGGATTCTTGAGTATGGACTAGCTCAGCAGTGTAGGCATGGGACAGTGCTTGTGAGTTCCTGTTGTGGTCAGGTGAAGTCAGGGGCAGGGAGATGCTACCTACAGTAACAGGCACATGTGCCCTTTCCATTGTATACTGAGATTCCAAGTCTTCTGTCAACCGCTTTCTTTTGCTATTGCTTCTCTGTATTCTCATTTTTGGAAAACTAACACCATCAGAAGAAGAATAAGAAAAGGCATAGTGGTACAGTGAGCTTGTACATGGATGGGTTTTTATTTACCTGGGGAAATTCCCGTGGCTGAGAACCAGCGATCGTGTCGCCATGAAGAGATAGTTGATACTCTTTAGGCTGATGAATTGTGCTGAGGGGTGGGCATGAGGAGACATTTGAGTAAGTGCTTTCCTATAAAAGTGAAGAGTTCCTGTGACTTTGAAGCATTTGCTGTGGTGTTTGAGCCCATGAACTGGCTGCTATGAGATTATTGTACTTTGTGTGGTCTCTAACAGCTCAGGACTCTGGGTGCCTAGGAGAGAAAGCTGTAAAGAGCACTTGGCGGAGGATGGGGACTGTGGGTGCCTTTACCTGTGTGGTCAGTGGGAATGACTCTGACCCTGCTCATCGCTTGGAAAGGGATGCAGAAGCAGCAGCAGTATCTTGGCCAGCGTACACGGGCCTAGGGAGGGATGCTCCTGTCTGCTATTTCTCCCCCTCATTCTTATGGTGACCGAGATGGAGATTCTCAGTCGTCATCTATTCCGACACAAAACAAAACGCGATAAAACCCTTCTGACCTTACTGTGGCCATCTCCCAGCCCGTGGGTCTGTGATGCTTAGGAGAGAAGCCCCTTCTGTAGTGTATTAGCAGTGAGACCCGGAAGAAGGCCGTACCCAGTGACAGGAGTCATCGTACCGCGGCTTCTTGAGCCTAAATGGGTGCCAGAAACCTACAGGGAAACAAGGGTTGCAGGGTTTCCCTCAGATGTAGTCGGGTCTGTGTGGATCAGAAAACTGGTGTCTGAACAGGCTTAGGAGGCTGCTCATGCCGCTATTGCCCAAGCCCCTAGAGTCTCTAATCCCTGGTCATGAATGTAGGCTGCCACATCTCTCTCCTAGCGTGACAGTGTGGGGTTGTCATGCAGTCCAAACAGCCGTTTCTCCCCGCGCCATCAGCCGGACTAGCTGTCTGCTCACCACGTGCTGGGTGCCCACCCTGAGCATTTATGTTTCTCATCCTCGCCAGGTGCTTTATTGCCTTGGGGGCGTTCTGAGTACGTGTCCCCAAACACAGCTCTGACTGGGGAGCAGCAGGTTCTTGAGGCCGAGACTCCTTTCTTGAAGGATTTGACTGGAGGAATTTCATCTGTGGATTCTTCTGAGAAAGGACATGTCCGAGTCCCTCTGGGAGCTCATTAGAGGTGCTGGGAATCCTGGGAGTGTGAGCTGGGAAGCCTTTCCGAAAGATGATAAGAAATGTCTGTAAACAGCAACCTAGTTTTCTCAGTGGTGCAGCAATGGAAGGAGACAAAGGTAGATGTTTGTTTCCAAGAAGGTTGTATTGTCTACTGGAACCCCAGAGCTGAGAGCAAACCCTATTTCAAATGGATAATTCGGGCGATTACCACCAAAGGCCTACATTTTTCTGAATACAACCCAAGGGTATCCTAAACCAATTGGGACGAAGAGTTTGCTCGGCCTTGATCAGGGCAGTCAATGGCATCTTCCAGCAGTAACAGCTATAGGTGTGTTTTTCTCTGTTACTCCTGAACATAAATAAAAAAAAAGTGCATTTACAATGTTGTCTCAAAGACTCATGTTCCTTTTTGGAGCAGCTGGGGCTTTATGTGAGTTTTGGGTTCCCTCGATGTGTCAGTCTGTAGTGCTTGTGCACAAACTGACCCCGATCGGAGGCCTTTGCTTAACAAGTGACATGCTGAGTGCATCACCTTTGGGGGTCTAGAAATTAAGACGGGGCTCATGTTTCAAACGCAAACAAAACTGAACATAAACTGGTGTTTAAAAATTAATGTGTTAATGCGCTTTCAATGCTATGCTCAAAACATACGTCCCAAAATGGGAAGGCTATGCAGACATTGTACTTCTGAAACAATCAGACCATATTGCCAGTCATGGTTTCTTGGGAGCAGTAGAAGGGTCTGTGTAGCCTTGGTCAGAAGTTTGGACTCAGAGAGGGGCCAATGGTGAATACGCAGCTAGGCTATTACAAATGAAATTTATACCCTGCCAGGCTTTTTTAGCGATGTTTGAACCCCAACATATTTCCTGTCTCAGGACAGAGGATGGCTGCGAGCCTGCCTTCAGGCACCCAAGGCTTTGTGTCCATCCTGCTGTATTCATTTTCTATGGCTGCTAAGGAATAACTTAAATATCTGAAGCTGGGGGCTGAATATACAACAAGGTCTGCTCAGATCACACGTTGGAAGTCTGTAAGCCCATGCATTGCTCCCTCTCCTGAGATGAGGCCTCCCCCTGCCCTTGTCATACACAGAGGAAGGTTGAACAACGGAGAGATACCAAATCGCATTTAGTCAAGGAGTTGGAAGGGCAGGGTGGATCTTTCTTTCCCTTTCATCAGGTATTTCTCTCACATAAACTAACCCACTCTGCAGTCAGCCCTAACTCCTTCCACGGGCAGCCACCCAATGGCCTCGCCACCACCCAATAGGCTCCATCTCTTAAGCATTCCGCACAACCTTTCAACTCTCCCACACAGACTCTGTCCTAGTATATGAACTTTGAGGGGGAACATCGTTTATCTTGCGTGTCAACGATCGTAATTTGTGGCACACGCTTTCAAATTATGAACTCACAGTTTTAACACAGTGGGTTTGAAGAGCCTGGGGCAATACAAGCCAGAAACCTCTGGGTGCCACACCGTAGGTGAATGCAGGGAAATAAGGACAAGCCTTATGAGGACCCACATAATATTTATGACACTGCTTCCAAGGGAGATGAGCTTGACATTGCAAGCCAGGGAGTTACACGGGGATGGGTAGATCCAGCCAGAGAGCCGTGGCGTCGTCATTGGAGACGAAGCTGAAGGGCGGGAGCTCCACTGGCCGGCTGCTCTGTCTGCTCAGTGGGAGCAGGTGGCTGACAGTGTGGCCCAGCACAGGTAGGTAGTGACCGTCAGCTCTGTCTGCTCATCGTCATCCAGCCGGTACTCACTAAATAGTAACTGAACGAATAATTAGAGAGGATTGTCAGCTTCATCCAGTGTAAGCTGTTAATTGGTAAGAACCTAAATATCTGGACCGTAACTCACAGGTTAATGACTGAAGAGAGACTCTGGGTCTCTTCCTAGTTTCTGAGGGGAAAACCCCACTGTTTCTAATTTTTTCTGACTTTAGATAATTGCATATCACTGACAAGATGTTGTCTGGACAGGTCCCGTCTTGGTGCACTTGGCCTTTTCAATACTCTGCTTTGAACAATTGCTTCTAAGCTCGGAAGGGGTACTTTGGTTTGCAGCTTCGGGTAGGAGCGTCTTCAGTTGCTGCCTCGGAACACGTGGCTTTCAAGGCTTGTGTCTTCATTCAGACCTGAGGTTGGCAGGGTGTCAGCTGGTGGTTCGTATTTGCCATTAACCTAGAATTCATTTTTCACTCTTACTTGTTTACTATAATTTAAGCATCTCGTTGCTAATGTTCGATGGGCTATTGGACTTGTGACAGTAACAATGTCAGGCGGTGGATTTCTCTCCTTTCCATTTTCTCTTGTTTATATCTGTCCAGTTAGTTGTTTTGTTGGGCGTCTAACTATCATCAGCATAGAGGAGTTCCAAAAAGAGTTACTCTATTAGTGTCTGGCCGTGCGCACTGGGTTATTCCTGTGCACATTTAATATGAATACATGAAGCACGTTGTGAGTCTACCTACATCTGTGACCGAACTGATACTCTCTTGTAAAGTGTAATTTGATTCTTCTTCTGGGGCTGCCTCCAGTTTATTTTGGTTATTTGTCAATGATACAGCTCTCAAAGAATTTGCGGAGCATCTTGTTGCTGAGAACGACGACTGGGCTGTGAATGCGCAGTGAATGCTTGCACTCCTGTTCTGACCAAGGCTCGCTTGGCTCTCTCATGGCTTCCTGGCCTCTCTACTCCAGGATATGTAGAAGCGCACATGAAGGGGGTGGGCGAACCCATGGCGTGTGGGTTGCCAGTTCTTCAGAGGGTGCTCCACACTGGGAGTGCTGCCACAGGCAGGGCAGGAAATATCACAAGGAGCCAGCAGGGGTGGAGCTCACCATGTGAGTGAGGACCGGGCGTGGCTACCAGCAAGCTGCTTATGCTCCCTGATGGAAATGCTCGCATGGTGTTTCTCCCTCAGCAGAGGCGCATGCTTTGGGCTCTAGATTGAAATGTCTTAGTGGTCCTAAGAAATCACAGGACTAGGAGAAAGAGGCTTTGCTCTCATGGCCTCAAGGAGTCAAAGGATTCCACCTCTATGGCCCTGGCCTGCAAGCATCCTTTGCAGAACTCAGAGCTTCCTGGATTTCCAGTTAAGGCAGGCACAAAATAACACTCACCTGTCTCTCTACTCCATGCTCAAGTCAGCGCTCTGAAATGGCCATCTTTCAGCAGGAAGAATTCCACTCTTTTTAAAAACAAACATAGCAGGGCTGACACTAATTCTGCTGGCAGTTTCTGCCTTTTCTATGAGCTCGAAACAGTCCAGAAAGTTGAAGAGTTGGAGGTTAGCACATATTTGGATCAACTCTTGAAAGAGGAAAACATGTGACCAAAGCCAGAA